TCTCCTTCTCCTTCTCCTTCTCCTTCTCCTTCTCCTTCTCCTTCTCCTTCTCCCTCTCCTTCTTCTCCTTCTTCTCCTTCTTCTCCTCCTCTCCTTCTTCTTCTTCTTTTACTGTTTACAGCCATGGGGAAAATTAGCTCGTGACTAATGAATTTTTAATATTTGTATAGGAGTCAATCACTCATAAGCCTTCCTGCTTTGATTTCGTATTTAATCTTCTGGTATTTTGACAGTAATCCCAAAGACCGGGGAAGGAGCACACAGCTGTTTAACTTAGGGTTTATTTTCTCCACTCTCTTTACAGCATTAAGAGTGCCGGAGATGACGGTAATAGCATTATCTGATTTGATTTGAGTGGCAATCTTTTCAATTTAATAACTGATGTCAGCTTCTCTGTCATGTTGCCAAGTTTAATTCCCACTTCTACTGCGATGAATACTCTAATGAAGACACTGTCTGCTTTTAGTGCCAGTACATACTTGCAAAGCTTCGCTCTTCTGAGCTTACAATTGGAGCTTCCGCAGTGAACCGTGATAAATCAACCCCAGCTAGAGTGCCTCTCAGTTAGGAGACTAAAAAAACCACTGAACATTCGCTCTAAATTTTGGTTCCCTACGGTATATTTAACATTATAGTATCACTTTATTTTTCCAGTGTTTTACTCTACTCTTTGGTATCACTTTATTTTAGTACCACTTTCTTTTCCAGTGTTCTATTCTGTACTTTGGTAATTCTTCCCAACAACCTCACTAAAGGCAAGTAAGTGGTCTGGGTCCTAAGTAGACCTACAAAGGTTCAGTGACTGTCCTCAGGGCAGAATTATCCAATGCCCTCAAGAACCAACTGAAAATTTTGTCTCCTGGTCCACAGCTCCATTAAGATAATGGTGAAGGGCTGAGCTGAACCTGGCTACGGAGAGTTAGTCACGTCCCATTTGTTCAAGCGCTTCCAACATTTTGCACATTTTACATCCACCTACAGAACAGGGACTATCAGGGACTTTGCAATTCTAGAGAGTCATATTAGCCACTTCGGCTCCTGAAATTATTTATTTCAAAAGTTAAAGTTAAGGAGAGAAAATCGGCAGAGACTCAAAGTCTGAGTAATTGGAGTGTGGTTAGGAAATGCAAAACATAGCCCAGCTCTCAAAGCTTAGGGCTGCATGACAAAGGGATAAACAAGCCCCCAAATACCTAGTTTAAGGAAGGAAACAAAAGGGCACGGAAACACTGCCAGTGCTCTGGGCTAAGAATTTAAGGATGAAGGATACAGGAGCAAACGTCCGCAGTTTACATCTCAGGCCAGGCACAGGCGGTGCCTCTTGAATTTCCCAGCGACAGTGGCACAAACCTCCCGGCGTGAGATCCTGAGGCTTTGCCATTTCTCCAAACTGCTTAACTCCGCTACGGCTCAGAACAGCACCGGCCACTACTCTCTCCTATACTCCAGGCATGGCAACGAGGTGTTTTTCTTTTATTGCACTGTTAAAGTCATGGTGACTGTTTCTTTCCAATGACGGTCAAAGTTTGTCCTCTTCAAGAGGTTTTTGAAGAAACCATTCCAAGCCCAGCGTTCATCAGTCTGTCCCTGAATCATGGCAGCAGCCCCCTGGCTGACCTTCCTTCCTCGAACCTTCCTTCAGTATCCCTGCAGAGGACAGACCTGCTGCCCAGGACGCAGGCACCCCCCTCCCCTTTCCAATACCTGCCCTGCTGTGTACCGTCCATGAGATACAGCAGTCCGTGGCTTTATCTTCCTTCCTTCCAGAAGGGCCATGGACCTGGTCTAGCTTATCTGAACCCAAAGCTCAATTCTAGGACATTTCCTGGGTTTCTAGGGATTCGGTGTAGGCCCGAAGCTTCTGGCTACCAACTTATTCCCAAGAAAGGTCCGTCCCTGAGAAAGGAGCTGACACGGAGAATGGCAAGGAGGGGACCCATAAGTAATGACCTTGCTGTCTTTGGGTTATCCTTGAATGTCAGTGACATGAGCCAATAAATCCTCCGTTTTTGATCTGGCCAGTTTGGATTGGGTTTCTGTCACTTGCAGCTAAAAAGAGCCTGACTGATGCCCCCCCCCCCCCCCCCCCCCACAGGTCTGACAAGGCATTCTTACTTGAGAACGCTTCTAATGTGCTGCTTGTTCAAGATTCTAACAGACTTGCCTGCAAAGTACAAACTGGTCCACTCTTCCTTTCCAAACTCTCTCTCTTTACAAATGGCTCCCTTTAGAGAGGCCAGTTTCTGTCTGCCTTGACCCTTCAGGACCTGGTTCAGTGATTTCCTCAACTTCGCTACTATCTCCCTTCCTAAATAAAAGTCCTTTATATTTTTCAGGGCTGTTTTCAGAACTCAACTGATTTCTTCCTACCACTGCCCATTAATACGTTCATTCCCTGTATGCACTCATCAGGCACCCAATGATGGATTAATGGAGATACTGATTCCTCAATCAAATTACAAATTCCTTAATAAGGACCATAAATTGTACAAGGATTGTCCTCAAACCTTTTGAAATTTACTCTTACTCTTTTTGATAACTAAAAATTCCACAGATCTCTTAATATTATCTGAAATTTCAAATTGAATTAAATATGGTGACCAAAACCAAGCTCCATATCTGGTATAACATTAAATATGCATTTTTAAACTCAACTTGGACAAGAAGACTGGATTGTATCCCCAAGACCAGTGGTGCTCAAACTTCAGGGAGCATCAGAACCACCTGCAGAGCCTGGGAAAACACAGATTGGTTGGCCCTACCCCTAGAGTTGGTTTTTCAGTAGGCCTGGGGTAGGGCATGAGTATGTACACTTCTAACGCATTCCCATGACACTGAGACTCCGGTTTGAGGACCCACTTTGAGAACTATTGAGCTAGAGGCATGTTCTTTCCTCCTCCATCTTGTATTTGAAAAGAGCATGGTCGGGGTACCTGGGTGACTCAATCAGTTAAGCGTCCAATTTCAGCTCAGGTGATGATCTCATGGTTTGTGAGTTTGAGCCCCTGCTTGGGATTCTCTCTCTGCCCCTCCCCCACTCGTGAGCACATGCACGCTCTCTCTCCCGCTCTCTCAAAATAAATAAATGAACTTGAAGAAGAAGAAGAAGAAGAAGAGGAAAAAGAAGAAGAGGAGGGGGAGGAGGAGGTGGAGGACGAAGGAGAAGGAGGAGAAGAAGGAGAAGGAGGAGGAGGAGGAGGAGGAGGAGGAGGAGGAGGAGGAAGCACGGACTGGTCTTTAAGGTCTGGATCCAGAACTCCATCTCTTCCCCTCTATGACCATGCAAAGTTATGATCTGTGGCAATAGAGTGCAAAGCTCTGAGTATAAACTGTTACTCACACAGAATGGATGAGCATCCAGATCTGCCATGTTGTTGGATAACACGTTGGATAACACTGATTATGGTTAAACTCCTTACTCTCTCTAAGCATCCATCCCTAATGTGTATAATGAGACAGTTATAGAACTTGTGTTCTTACCTCACAGACAAGAGCTAAAGGTAAAGTGCTTCTCACGAGGCTCAGCACATAGTAAGGGCACGGTAAATGCTGACTGTTACTACTGGGGGTGTTATCAATGCTGTTGACAGTAGGTTGATGGTCTCCTAGTTCCCAGCCCAAGATTCTTTTCACTCAGCAATATCACTTTCAGAAAATTTTTAACTTTCAATATCTTTTAGGTGAATATACCTTTCACTACAGCACAGCCTCTAATGTTAGCCTTTCTCCTATCTCACGCTATTACTCTGTTCGATTACAATATTTGAAATTGTCTTCCTTTGAACAGCCCAGAACTTTTCCTGTCCATCACAGAATGTACTTTTTCCTTCAACTTAGTTCAATTAAAATTCAATTTTTAGAAAGTCTGTGCATTAAAGTAAATTAGATTCTGGGCCCAAAATAGCCCCATTTTCTTACCCAGTGACAAATTATTAACGGTTTTCCTACAAAATACATTTTGGCTTCCCAGAGACTCTGTCTATGGAATTCTCTCCCACAGTACCACAAATGCTATTTGTGGCAATTTCACAAAAACACAAAAACAAGAGGAAAACCAGATTCATTGTCTCCTGCTGTCTTTCATTCACTCCATGGAGTACAGGCTGGAAACTTGCTCTTCGTGTGGTCATGGAGTTTCTGAAGAGGCATCAACTATGTGTTCGGAAGCTTGACAAGAGGCTGGCCCAGGGTGAGCCAGGGCACAGAAGCATGATGCTCAGGAAAATGGGAGCCAAGAGTCAAGCAATTAACATTTTTTTCATGCTTCACTATAATTAGCCAGATCAAAGGGGACCTGGGCCTACGGATTTCAGCAGGCCGGCAGGACTCTCTGAGAACAGTTAGCAAACAGCGCTGCAGACGTTCGGTGCGACTAACCATTCACAGCAGAACTCATTTTCTTACAAATCACTCCCTTGCGAATCCTTTACCAGTTATTCCCAGTCTGAAGGTCGCACTTCAGCAGATGTTCAGGACTCACATAGTTACCCTTTCCTGAACATTTTCCTGAGTGTTTACTATGTCTTGCAGATTGCTCATGAACACCCCAAAGCAACCCTGCCAGGTGGGCTTTGTGCCTCCAAGTCACATGACTTCACCATGCCTCATTTCTAGGAAGTAGCAGGACTTGAACTCAGATCTTCCAAAAAGTCAGTGATTTGCAAACATTGTTGATCCTTAAAAGAATCTCCTGAGCTGCTTGTTGAAAATCCACATGTTACTCTCAGGGCGCCTGGATGGTTCAGTTGGTTGAGCGTCAGACTCTTGATTTTGGTTCAGGTCATGATCTCACGGTTTGTGAGTTCAAGCCCAGCATCAGGCTCCATGCTGACAGTGTGGAGTCTGCTTGGGATTCTCTGGCTCCTTTTCTCTCTGCCCCTTCCCTGTTCATGCTCTCTCTCTCTCTCTCTCTCTCTCTCTCTCTCTCAAAATAAATAAATAAATATTAAAAAAAGAAAGAAAGAAATATACGTATTACTGTAGTGGGTCTGAAATGAGGCTGGGAAACACGATCTTTAAAAAGCTCCAAGCGATTCTTATTTTCACTGAGGTTTGGTAAATCAATTGTGAAATTCAAGAGACCATTTACGGAACTTTTTATTTCATTCCAACACACCGAAAACAGAAAGTCCATCTCATGGGAGTTTTACACTTTCATGACCTATCAGTCTCTTCTAGGCTTTTCTTCAAAGACCCAGACTTACTTCTGTCATAGTCCATACACATGGCAGTCCTCTGCCCAGAATCCTGAGTGGTTCCCAACTTCACTCAGCATGATGGCCAGAATCCTTACAATGGCCTACAAGTGTCACATGATCTGGTCCACACTTACTTCTTGGACATTATCACTTCTCCACTCATTCTTCTCTAGACACATGGCCCCTTGCCATTCCACAAACACTCTAGGAACTCCTGTCTTTGCACCTTTGCATTTACTATTCCCACTGCCTGGAACACTCTTCCTGCAGAAATGCACAGGGCCAGCTTCCTCATCTGCTGTAAGCCTCTGCTTCACTGTGGCTCAGTAAGGATTGCCCTGACTTAACACTACAACTGTGCCCCACTTTGGTTAACTTCTAATACCCTGTACTTTCTGCCATGCTTACTTTTTGTTGTACACTTTCACCTTATACCATGCCACATAACTTACTTACTATGTTCATCAGTTACTCACCATCTTCCCCTCCTACAGAGTAAACACCATGAGGGGATCTTTGTCTACTGATATATCCCAAGCACCTAAAACAGTGCCTGGTATGTAGTAGGTGCTCAATAAATACACGTCGAATTAATGAATATAATGGAAACAAAACTTCACACAACACTTAACCTTACTATGTTAATGCACTCTGATCCAGTCAATCCAATTCTATTCTAATTTATTTTATTAAAGTATTGGCTACAACTCATGATTTGATCAGTAAAAATCACAGACAAAATCAAAATTCTGTTTCTTGTTTGCCAATAACTTGCTGGGTACCTACTTAAGTCAGGACCCCAATTCTCACAGTGTACCATTTGACTAGACAAATACGAAAAGTTTCCTCCAAAGGTTAAGACCATTATGATGGCTAAAAACCAGACATGATGGCAGCCCATGCGCCAATAAGAAAGATGTTAGGATGAAATCAGAAGCTTTGGCATATGAGTCCTTTGACAAAATGCTAACTTAGCTTTGAGGTACATGGCTAAGCTGTGAGAAATACACAGGTATAGTAGGCAATGCATCCTTCAGTCAGCAAGAACAACACCAACATGTTTCAAATTCTATTAATTTAGTTAAAGCAAAGAATAATGCTTTAAAACCTATAGTTTAGGGGTGCTTGGGTGGCTCGGTCGGTTAGGCATCTACCTCTTGACTTCAGCTCAGGTCATGATCTCACTGTTTTTGAGATCAGGTCCCACGCTGGGCTCTGCACTGGGTGTTCAGCCTGCTTAAATTCTCTCTCTCCCTCACCCTTTGCCCCTCTGCTGTTTATGCTCTCTCTGTCTCTCAAAAACCAAAACAAAACAAAAAAACAAAACAAAAAATCACCACATTTTGTAAATTTTCCTTTCAAAACTGTTCAAGGACAAGATTGGTTTTATTTCAGAAAAATAAATTTAGGTGAACAAATTCTGATGAACAAGATTAATAGACCCAATATTATCACCCATTATTATCTTTAGCAGTATCCTACAAGGTCTTAAGTATTCTATCTTCTTAGTTTGACTTCGTGTTTCAGAATTTACACTGGAAGCATTTCGTCACAGTATTTGCTCAGGCTGCTATGACAAAATACCACAGACTGGGTAGGTAAACAAGGGAAACACATTCTCTCATAGCTCTGGAGGCTGAAAGTCCAAGATCAAGGCACTGGCAGGTTGGGTTTCTTCTGAGGGTCCTCCCCTTGACTCATACATGGCCCTCTTCTCCCCATGTCCTCATGGGGTGGGTCTTCCCTACCTGTGGCTGTGTCCTAATTCCTCTGCCTATAAGGACACCAGTCATACTGGTTTAGAAACTACCCTGATGTCTTCATTTTAACTTCATTAGTTCTTTGAAGACCCTGGCTCCAAAAACAGTAGTCACGTTCTGAGATACTAGAGCTTAGGGCTTCAACATACGAATTTGGGGGGAACACAGTTTAGCCCACCTACTAATTCTAATGCTTACAACATGCTCAGGCATAAGCATATTATTTTACATCTTTATCTGCTGTCAAATATGCAACCAAAAGCTAAAAATACAAAACTTCACATTCAATATATGTGACATCTCCCCAAAGAAACAGCAATGAACTGTCTAATGATACAAATTACTTAATTAAAATGAGTTTTCCTACAACTAAGATTTTTAGATTTTCTCATCAACTAGGGAGAATAGAAGAACTTCTATTTTCCTTAAAACTCGAGCTTTCTTCCTAGACATTTCATTTCAGATTGGTTCACACAGACACCTTTTTTCTCCTAAACAGTCTTCTCTGGGCATTTGGTGAGAATTGAAAAGAGAAAACAACATCCACCTGAGGGAGGATCCAGGGGGAAACGGGAGGCTTAAAGTCAACCATATATAGATGTTTTGATGCCAAAACATCCCAGGAATCACTGCTATGTCCAAGTTATATATGGTAGAATCTGAATGGAATACAGTCATCAGGCACGTCTCAGTGGGATTCAGGACAAAGCAGTGTGAGAATTTTGTCAAGTCAGACATCCCCTGAGGGCCTACTACGTGCAAGGAGTTGTGCAAGACCCGAAGGGAAATTTAGTAAGACACTACTGAAGGAAGTGAGGAACGTTCCCTGGAGGAATTAAAGATTTAGTGGAGATATGAGAGCTGTCCAAAAAACTTGAGGGCTCTCAGGCAGAAGAAGGATTCAATTTATTCTCGGAGCCTCCTGAATGCAGAGTTTAATCAAGCGGTTCAAACCCTGCTTAGCCTGCTTTTGGCTAAAAGAAAGACAAACTGTCTTCCAGAACTATCCAGTGACACTGAGGTAGTGAGTTCCCTCTCACCGAATATGTTCAAACGAAAGCTTGGGGCTCCGTGGAAGGATTCAGGTGTCAGGGAGAGAATACACAACTCCCTGATGCCTTCCAAATCTGAGACTGTCCCATTAGGTTCATTCTCTCCACAGGCTTCTAGTGATGGAGTCAACAACAATAGCTACTTTTATACATTGTCTAAATAATATTTTGCCTGCAGTATAAGTAAAAATATTATCACCTATTCAATGATGCACGACCTACTATCACAAAGGAATTATCCATAACTTCTTCAGTCCTTACCAGTCACTGTAAAGGATCTGTGACACATCTCTCCCGCTATGGCCTGCCACTAAATTTCGATCAAGCCTATAATCAAGTCTGACCGTTTTGTCATGAAGGTGACCCAGACAAAATAACCCCAAGTATATCACTGCAAGAAATAGAATTAAGATAACATAGCTTCATTTTACACTGTAATCTTACACGGTACCTTCATTACAAGACCACTTGCTTGGGAACAGCGTGATGGTTTCCAATATTCAGCACTAGCTTCATGGGCTTAATATTCCTATTCTGTGACCAACGAGGCAGTTACTTGTGATTAGGGGGGGATAAGAGGCAACCGTAAAATATATTTGGATGGGGGCCCGTTGTTACAGCTGCTAATACCTTTGCCAAGTACTTAACGAGGGTTGAGGATCCTAATATACGGTGCTGAACCCAAAGCCCAACCTTGAGAACCGACCTCAGGGGTTGGAGCTCCAAATGGAAAGGGGTAAACATCTGTCAAAGTTAAGTTCCATCTGATTTCACGCTCCGATGAGCAGTGGAAACACGAATCACCTAATTTTCTACCCAGCGAGGCTAGTATGATGGTCCACTGTGAGACACGTTTCACAATCTTTTTTATTTTATTTTACTTTATTTTATTTTAATTTGTATTTTTATTCTATTCTATTTTTTTGCTCGTCACCCCTAAACTAATAAGGGCCACCACCATTCAGCAGCTTAGTCAACAGAGCTCCATCATTCTGTCGGCCCCTTAGGAGGGAAGGAAGTGTGCAGAAGAAAGCCTGGCTAGGAGAGGGGCGGGTGGGAGAGAAGGGAGGAGGTCGGATAGGGATTGAGAAAGGTGTGGAAAAAGAACGTGAGACCTCACATGTAATCTGAAGCTGAGGCAGCCATGTAATTATAAAGCTCGCTTTTCTTTCACTTGACAGCACAAGAAAAGGAGGTGAAGAGAGGCTCTTAAATGAAACATGACATTCCCTTATTAAAGTCTGATTTAGATTTTAAATGGCTTAGTGCTTTGCATTTACTTCCACACTCTGGGCTATCCACGGAGTAGGTGCTTAGTAGAAAGAGAAACTACAATTTTTACAGAACAGTAGGCATGTTTCTAAACAAACGCTTTCTTTATCAACATTTTTATGCTAGTTAAGAGCTTTTTAGATTAGCCAAGCGATAGGTGGCCACCTTTTGGTCAGCATAGATGTATCTTAGCTTCCAGGGAAAACACGCAGTATGCCTTTCATTGAAAAATGACATGATGCATAATGTGTGCAATGCATTAAGAATTTATTGCCCGTTCCTGCTGCAGTTCCTCTACTGGGGGTAGCCCACGGAAACTGCAAGTCTCTACAAGCAGTGCTCTGTGGCCCCCATGAAATTGGAGCATTGCATGCTGGGACCTGTAGCCCCCAAACGGGAGGGCAGCTGCTGTGCATTTCCCACGTGGTGAGTGGTCTGACAAGTTTCAGGGTTTACTTTCCGCCCCACAGCCAATGATGGACTTCTCCAGGGATGGACACCTCTTCTCTCCTCCCCACACCCACCTTAACCGCCCTCCCATCCCAAGGGACATTTCCTCCCAGAGTGGATATGAAATGCCCCAAATTGCTGCATCTGCTTGATAAATATTATCAATAAGATTCATAATAATGCATGATATTTATTGAACACCTTGCATATTGCCAAATATTTTATATACATCATCTACACATGACATGGATATTATTGGCCTCATTTTATAGAAGAGGAAAGTGAGGCTCGAAGAATGCAATTTACTCACAGGTACATAGCAAATAAGTCAGAGATCCAAGATCTCAGCCCAGGCCTCCGGCTCTCAGTCCAGGTCTTTCCTGAATTCCACCCTCCTTCCTCTTGTCCTTAATTTTCCTTTGTCCTTCTTATCCCTCCGCTTTCCTTCCTTTCCCTTTCTTTCTTTTTAACATCTTTACTCAGGTATAATTGACATAGAATAACCCGAATTTACTTAACATGTACAGTTTTATCAATTTTGATGCGTATACAACAGTAACAACATCACCATAATTAAGATAATAAATATATCCAGCAGCCCATCAAGCTTCTTCCTGATCCTTTAGAACTCCTCCCTGCTCCCATTCCACAATCTCCTGTCCCAGGCAACCACTAATTCTGTTTT